CCCTAACCCTAACCCTAACCCTAACCCTAACCCTAACCCTAACCCTAACCCTAACCCTAACCCTAACCCTAACCCTAACCCTAACCCTAACCCGACGTCCCCCCTCTTCTCACTCGTCGAATGTATTTTACTCTACGCACCCTGTAGGTGGAATTCCAGACCTTTGCGCTATTACTCGTGATCCCCTTGCCGCCCTGGCAACGTACGTGGCACCCCCACGTACCCCTCGCACCGCCCCGAGCCTCCCTCGAGGTTTTCAGCCCCTCGGGCCTTAACAGTACGGCTCTGACGGCTCGTCACTGTAGGCATGGAACGTCTGCTGCATGTAACGGCCAGACTCCATAAAGGTCTGCATCCAACGCTGAGCAGACGCTTTGGCCATTCTGGCCAGCCAGTGAACAAAGTCGTGGTGTGCGCCAGGCCAGCTTGACGTGTCCATACCCAGAGCGCCAATGGCGGCCAGCGGCTTGCCTGCCCAGTACGAGCGCCACTTGAGCTGCTTGGCCCAGGGTCCAATGTTGCCGCTGAGCATGGACGCGTCAACCACTGGGTTGAGCAGACCTGCGTCACGGAGAGCAGCTTGGTCCTGCTGGATGAACGCAGCGGCCCTGGCCGTGATGGCATTGTCCAGCTGACGCGCGTCCAGGTTGGCGTTGAGGATGGCCTGCGGAGGTGTGGGGTCCAGCTCCTTGTCCTGCACATAGATGTAGCGCTTGTTCTTGCCGTGTTCCTGGATGACCTGCAGCAGGACAGGGTGCGTAGGCTTGGCTTTGACCTTCAGGTCTGCGTGTTTGTCTTTGACGTGGGCAGACATGGCGTTCCTGGCAAAGATGGCGTAGGAACAGTGACTGCACTGGTAGCCGTCTGTCACCACAGGCAGCTCCTTGATCTTGGGCACCGGCAGCTGGTCGTGGTCCACAGGGACGTCCTTGGGAAGAGGAAGATCAAGCTGATCAAGCATGGCCTGGATAGCACGGCGTGAAGCGTCACCAAGGGGCTGATGATGGAAACGCTGCACGTGAGCAGTGACGTCTCTGAACAAGGGTGTCAGCGGCACTCCAAGGGTGCAGCCAACACGCGTGCAGACAAGCAACTGTGGGTGATCCACCAAGCGGAGATAGAAGCGGCCAAGAGTGGCGCTGGTGATGGCAGTGGCAGCGTTGGGAGCTTGAGCAGCAGCATCACCAGCAGCATTGGCGGCCAGTTGGTTGGCAGCAGGAAGCAGCGGGCTGTATAGAATAATGCAGACGTGTGAGTTGAAATGTACTGCAAGGCTGATGACGCGTGAGGACAGGTGGACTTACGTTTCAGCAAGGGAGGTTGAAACCGTCTTGCCTTCAACTGTGTTGACTGCATTGACAGCGGTGTCAGCGTTGTCAGCACTGTCAGAGCGGACAGAGGGAGGTGACTGCAGAGTCATTGTTGAAGAAGGCAGCTTGTAGCGTAGAACAATGAATCCGGTTGGTGTTGAAACAGAGAGCGTGAAGTGGTTGATGGTTTCAAGACGTCTCTTGGTTCCTCAGCAAGCACATCTATATATTGCAGACGTCTGTCAAGCCAGCGCAGAGGCGCTGACTGCTGTGCATGACTTGCAGTCTACCGTACTCCAGGCAGAGGCTGCTGCTTGACATACCGCTTGCTTGCTGCGCACTGGACCAAGCGAGCGCTGTGAAAATTTTTGTCAATGTCTTCATCGCACTTGACTCAACACAAAGGGCAAGCGTGGGAACAAAGGGAACATCAGTTGGACGTGCCCTGATAGGCTGGATAGGCCGGACATGCTGCTCTGTCTTCAAGGACAAAGGGAGATGGTGTTGGCAGTGCCGTCTTGCGGTGGTGAACAAAGGGACTCAGTACCGGGCAGCGGCGGCGGTGCCTGACAGACGGATCCACTCACGTGCGCCTGGCGGTAACTTTACG